ATGCTATGGGGATGTTTTTCAGCGGCAGGGACTAGTCAGGATCGAGGGAAAGATGAACGGAGCAAAGTACAGAGAGTTCCTTGATGAAAACCTGCTCCAGAGCACTCAGGACCTCAGACTGGGGTGAAGGTTCACCTTCCAACAGGAAAACGACCCTGAGAACACAGCCAAAACAAAGCAGGAGTGGCTTCGGGACATGTCTCTGAATGTCCTTGAGTGACCCAGCCAGAGCCTGGACTTGAACCCAATCGAACATCTCTGGAGAGACCTGAAAATAGCTGTACAGCGACGCTCCCCATCCAACCTGACAGAGCTTGAGAGGATCTGCAGAGAAGAATGGGAGAAACTCCCCAAATACAGGTGTGCCAAGCCTGTAGCGTCATACCCAAGAAGACTCAAGGTTTTAATCGCTGCCAAAGGTTGGAAGCTGTTTTTGCTTTGTCATTATGGGGTATTGTGTGTAGATTGATGATGGGGGAAAAAAAACAATTGAATCAATTTTAGAATAAGGCTGTAACGTCACAAAATGTGGAAAAAGTCAAGGGGTCTGTATACTTTCCAAATGCGCTGTAAATGCCATTTAGCCAAAGCAACTTACAAAAATGTAAAAGGCATTGTTCTCACTATCACGGTGACTGCATTCACTGGAAATGCTGTACATGTCGGCTCAATTGGAAATGACCTTTAAAAACGGAATTGTCAGCTGTCCACAGTGCTGCGTTATGAATAGAGTCCAGGCCCTAACAATGTTTTTAGGCTGTACAGTATTTGTTTACAATTACATTGTTTACAAACAATGGATTTAGGAAAGTTTATATTTAAAGGTGACAGTTGAACTAAGCTCATGAGGCATTTATCAATTATATTTTTTAAGAATCAATGGCTATCTATCAAATCATTTATTAAAGGTCCAAAAACGGATGTACCAATCCCAGATTGTCCCTTTAACATCATATCCTCAAAACCGTCCTAAGGCCTGGCAGCATTTCTCACCACTGCTTCCTGGATTCTGAGCAAAATCCCAGAAAAAAAAGCACTTGAATTCCGGCAGCCCATAAAGCTCATGTTAACGCCAACCTTATGGAGCTCCACAATGCCAATCCTCACAAAGCAGAGCTGGGACAATCATTCATGGATCACGTAACAACGCTAAGCCTATCGGATGCGCTGATGTGGGCTAGGCAGATAAAAGTTGTTTTTTTAACAGAGAGGGATAGGTGATATAATCCGCGAGGACGCAAATCCAACGGGATTAGGAGGGGATGCAAAAATACTTCAGCATTGTGAGTGGGTGCAACTGAGCTCCTCTGTGAAGAAGGAGCCCTTTGGCTACACAGCTCACCAGGCATTAATCCTCTCTCTCTCCACGAAAACACATATTGTACTGCATCCACCATCCATCCACTGAAAAAGCACAACTGGGCAGGCGGCTGCCTGTCATTTTGGGTCTGGCTCCAACCTCTCCTTTCTTCTCCTCTCTCCTCCTCCTCTTATCAGCCCTCTTTACCTCCTCTATTGTCTTTCCCCCATATTTTCCTCTCTTCCCCTCTCTCCTCCTCCTCCTCTTATCAGCTTTCCTCGCTTCTCTTCCCTCCTCTCCTTTCTTCTTCTCATAGAGCTCATGAGTTTACATTAGATCGTTCTGGCTTCTCTACGCCATCTATCTCCTCAATATGAGTAGGAGATGTGAAAGAAATAAGGCCAACATCTTGCCAGCTGTTTATTCTTCTATTCTCCTTCCCCTGAAGCTCTGCAGACTCATATGCTGTGAAATGTTCCTTCTGATACTTCTTCTTCTTCTTCTACTTCTACTCTCCGCCTGCTACAGCAGAGGAGAAGGGAGGAGGAAGTTTGACTTTCCTTTGCTGAATAGTTTTTTGTTCAGCAGAGTTGCGAGTTGAGTTACCGTGGGAACCGTGGCTGCCACCGCCCACTTTTCTCTACCGTTTCATGACTGCCAGGTACAGTAGGTAATCTCGCCCCTGCAATACAGTGTGTGCTGCAGCACTAACACACACACTTTGACATACAGTGGGGGAAATTAGTATTTAGTCAGCCACCAATTGTGCAAGTTCTCCCACTTAAAAAGATGAGAGAGGCCTGTAATTTTCATCATAGGTACACGTCAACTATGACAGACAAACAGAGAATTTTTTTCTCCAGAAAATCACATTGTAGGATTTTTAGTGAATTTATTTGCAAATTATGGTGGAAAATAAGTATTTGGTCACCTACAAACAAGCAATATTTCTTGCTTTCACAGACCTGTAACTTCTTCTTTAAGAGGCTCCTCTGTCCTCCACTCGTTACCTGTATTAATGGCACCTGTTTGAACTTGTTATCAGTATAAAAGACACCTGTCCACAACCTCAAACAGTCACACTCCAAACTCCACTATGGCCAAGACCAAAGAGCTGTCAAAGGACACCAGAAACAAAATTGAACTATGACAGACAAAATGATAATTATTTTTCCAGAAAATCACATTGTAGGATTTTTAATGAATTTATTTGCAAATTATGGTGGAAAATAAGTATTTGGTCAATAACAAAAGTTTCTCAATACTTTGTTAATATACCCTTTGTTGGCAATGACACAGGTCAAACGTTTTCTGTAAGTCTTCACAAGGTTTTCAAACACTGTTGGTGGTATTTTGGCCCATTCCTCCATGCAGATCTCCTCTAGAGCAGTGATGTTTTGGGGATGTCGCTGGGCAACACAGATTTTCAACTCCCTCCAAAGATTTTCTATGGGGTTGAGATCTGGAGACTGGCTAGGCCACTCCAGGACCTTGAAATGCTTCTTACGAAGCCACTCCTTCGTTGCCCGGGCGGTGTGTTTGGGATCATTGTCATGCTGAAAGACCCAGCCACGTTTCATCTTCAATGCCCTTGCTGATGGAAGGAGGTTTTCACTCAAAATCTCACGATACATGGCCCCATTCATTCTTTCCTTTACACGGATCAGTCGTCCTGGTCCCTTTGCAGAAAAACAGCCCCAAAGCATGATGTTTCCACCCCCATGCTTCACAGTAGGTATGGTGTTCTTTGGATGCAACTCAGCATTCTTTGTCCTCCAAACACAACGAGTTGAGTTTTTACCAAAAAGTTCTATTTTGGTTTCATCTGACCATATGACATTCTCCCAATCCTCTTCTGGATCATCCAAATGCACTCTAGCAAACTTCAGACGGGCCTGGACATGTACTGGCTTAAGCAAGGGGACACGTCTTGCACTGCAGGATTTGAGTCCCTGGCAGCGTAGTGTGTTACTGATGGTAGGCTTTGTTACTTTGGTCCCAGCTCTCTGCAGGTCATTCACTAGGTCCCCCCGTGTGGTTCTGGGATTTTTGCTCACCGTTCTTGTGATCATTTTGACCCCACGGGGTGAGATCTTGCATGGAGCCCCAGATCGAGGGAGATTATCAGTGGTCTTGTATGTCTTCCATTTCCTAATAATTGCTCCCACAGTTGATTTCTTCAAACCAAGCTGCTTACCTATTGCAGATTCAGTCTTCCCAGCCTGGTGCAGGTCTACAAAAATACAATTTTGTTTCTGGTGTCCTTTGACAGCTCTTTGGTCTTGGCCATAGTGGAGTTTGGAGTGTGACTGTTTGAGGTTGTGGACAGGTGTCTTTTATACTGATAACAAGTGCAAACAGGTGCCATTAATACAGGTAACGAGTGGAGGACAGAGGAGCCTCTTAAAGAAGAAGTTACAGGTCTGTGAGAGCCAGAAATCTTGCTTGTTTGTAGGTGACCAAATACTTATTTTCCACCATAATTTGCAAATAAATTCATAAAAAATCCTACAATGTGATTTTCTGGAATTTTTTCTTCTCAATTTGTCTGTCATAGTTGACATGTACCTATGATGCAAATTACAGGCCTCTCTCATCTTTTTAAGTGGGAGAACTTGCACAATTGGTGGCTGACTAAATACTTTCCCCCCCCACTGTATATAGGGGAAATAGTAGTTGTGTGTGAGTCGACCAAGCACACAGGTTAACTACTTACTTAATACTCTTCATCTCTATTGAGACAATGAGCTCCCTCCACTTCATTCTGTCCTTGGCAACATGTTGTGCCTCACTCCAAGAGCACAAAGATTGGATGAGTGGTCCTCTGTATGCACGTACTGTATGACTAAGTCGCTTTGGATAAAAGTGACTTACAGGGCCAACCCTTACTTACATGTACATGCATGTAACTTGTGTACCTCCAGGCTGATACTGCATGTAAGTCAGGGAGGGGACAGATCACCTTCCCGCCAGACGGATGGAGGGGAATGCTCCTGGCCCGACAGTTAATAGGTTGTTTGAGAAACAGAGTGGAGAGCGATGACACTGATAGTGTGACCGGCTCGCCTAGCTGAGAAATACAGCGACAGAGTGCGGGCCATCTATCACTCCTCTCTACTCAACTCCACTCCTTTCAGTGTGTCTGCACAGATTTAGCTGGTCACACAGAGAGTTGTTTGTGAAGGTGACACAAACGTAACCCTGTTTGACAGGTGTGTGAAGGTAACGCAGACGTGTGTGTGTGGAGCTCCTGAGTGGCGCAGTGGTCTGATCCTGGTTCGAATCCAGGCTCTGTCGCAGCCGGCCGCGACCGGGAGACTCATGGGCGGCGCACAATTGGCCCAGCGTCGTCCAGGGTAGGGGAGGGAATGGCCGGCAGGGATGTAGCTCAGTTGATAGAGCATGGCGTTTGCAACGCCAGGGTTGTGGGTTCGATTCCCACAGGGGGCCAGTATATATAAAATAAAATAAAAATGTATTCACTGTAAGTTGCTCTGGATAAGAGTAAATGTAAAAAATGTAAATGAGTGTTGAGGCTTGCACAGGTAATCTCTGTGGAATTCTAGATTGCGGTTTGTCAATATCCATGTACACTATCATGATGAAATGTTATCGTACGGCTAGGCATCACCAGGACAAAGTGTATTGTACTTTCAGATTGTATGATAGGAGATGTGCATGTTGGGAATTGTAATGTGTGTCATATAAACTCACTGTAGTCGCTGTTCTCGTCCTTGGTCCCATTTATGGTGCCGTCCGGCTTCATCTGCAGGTAGAAGCCCTGCTCGCTGAACAGTCGCGTCACAATGCCCTTCAGCTGCGGCTCTGCAACACAACACAACAGGGATAAGGGTTAGCTAGCTGCTTGGGTCATGTTCATTAAGCACCAAACAGAATAAAATGGACTGAAACAGGGAGGAACTACCTGAATGTGTCCAATAAGAATACTAATTTTAGTTTTCCGTTGCAATGAACAAGGTCACTTAAGGCACCAAAACACTTGAATGCCATGCCCTCATACCCTTGGTATCCTTTTCAATGATTAGGGGCTGACCAGGAAACACTAGACTATAACTAGGGCCCAGAGTTCTTCCAGGTCTGGTCAGGTCACGTGATCAGGAAAAACCCCTGGTCTTATAGTGTAAGCCTGAGTTAGTACCCATTATTGCAGTGCCATGTGATAGGCTACATAATGAATGATTTGCCGTGTGATACATGTGATGACACACAAGCAAACAATGCCTCCCACCATGACAGAGAGGCAGACAGATCCTCCTCAGACCATCACTCAATGGTAAAGAGAATAAAAAGAATGAGGTTAATTACGACAGCTACTTGTACGTTAGGGCCATTCAGAGAATGCAGATACCAACATAACACTAATCAGTGGAAAACCATCTCCCAGTCTTGTAGATAAAAATCTTTCAGTTAATGGATCAAAACCGAACCGAAAAACAAACGGTCTAAGAAGCCACCTCCAAATCATGAACAGGGCACACAATGTGGGACAGATAATCTTGGCACTACAGCCGCCTGACACCCAAATCATGCAGGAAGAGATGGAAAAAGCCTAAAATACAGCACTATTTAGAGCAAGTCGGTGTGCCAGTTAAACGCTGATGATGAGGCAGACCCAGTGGTGATAGAAACACTGAAAGGTGGAGGGATACGTTAAATAGGATGCAGAAATGTGTGGTCCGCCTCCTCTCACCCATCGGTGATAGATATGATACTCTTAAACCTCTGACTAACTTGCTTGTAGCCTAACTGTGAGAATTTGCCCATTGATCAATAAAGCATTCTTCACCAACGATGCTTCACCTTAACATGGACACTGATAGCTCTGGTCCAGGTCGTTAGTGTGCCTTCCTTCACTTCAAGTACTGGAGGAACCCGCACAACAACAACAAAAATGTGTGAAATGTGGCTGTTTTCACATAATGAGCTTAGATTTCACATGTTTACACCACCTTTTCACATGTGAGGAGAATAACAACAAGAAGAAGAATAGTTAAATAAATGTACATATTAAACACGTGAACATTTGCAGTTTCACATGTAAGAAAACTTCACAAGTTCACATGTGGGGGTTGAAATAGTGTTATTCTCCTCACATGTGAAAAGGTGGTGTAAACATGTTGCAGTAACAATGGTTTCCAAATGTAGAATTGCAAATTCAGTAATGCCATTCTGTAAAAAGGTTACTTAGCATAGCTGAGCATACAAAATAATGATTTCTTACTTCCAAGCCATCCACTCCATTATTATTGTAGTCCTCCATAGTGTTGCATTGATATACAGTGCCTTCGAAAAGTATTCAGACCCCTTGACTTTTTCCACATTTTGTTAGGTTACAGCCTTATTCTAAAATTGATTTTTTTTTAATCCATCATCAATCTACACACAATACCCCATAATGACGAAGCAAAAACAGGTTTTTAGAACATTTTGCTAATTTATTAGAAATAAAAAACTGAAATATTACATTTACATAAGTATTCAGACCCTTTACTCAGTACTTTGTTGAATCACCTTTGGCAGCGATTTCAGCCTCGAGTCTTCTTGGGTATGACGCTACAAGCTTGGCACACCTGTATTTGGGGAGTTTCTCCCATTCTTCTCTGCAGATCCACTCAAGCTCTGTCAGGCTGGATGGGGATCATTGCTGCACAGCTATTTTCTCTGGAGCAGGTTTTCATTAAGGATCTCTCTGTCCTTTGCTCTGTTCATCTTTGCGTCGATCCTGACTAGTCTTCCAGTCCCTGCCGTTTAAAAACATCCCCACAGCATGATTCTGCCACCACCATGCTTCACTGTAGGGATGGTGCCAGGTTTCCAGAAGTGACGCTTGGCATTCAGGTCATTCAGGTCAAAGAGTTCAATCTTGGTTTCTCAGACCAGATCATCTTGTTTCTCATGGTCTGAGAGTCTTTAGGTGCCTTTTGGCAAACTCCAAGCAGGTTGTCATGCCTTTTACTGAGGAGTGGCTTCGGTCTGCCCACTCTACCATAAAGGCCTGATTGGTGGTGCTGCAGAGATGGTTGTCCTTCTGGAAGGTTCTCCAAACTCCACAGAGGAACTCTAGAGCTCTATCAGAGTGACTATCGGGTTCTTGGTCACCTCCCTGACCAAGGCCCTTCTCCCCTGATTGCTCAGTTTGGCCAGGCGGCCAGCTCTAGGAAGAGTCTTGGTGGTTCCAAACTTCTTCCATTTAAGAATGATGGAGGCCACTGTGTTCTTGGGGACTGTCAATGCTGCAGAAATTTTTTGGTACCCTTCCCCAGATCTGTGCCTCCAAACAATCCTGTCTCAGAGCTCTACGGACAATTCCTTCGACCTCATGGCTTGGTTTTTGCTCTGACATGCACTGTCAACTGTGGGACCTTATATAGACAGGTGTGTGCCTTTCCAAATCATATCCTATCAATTGAATTTACCACAGGTGGACTCCAATCATGTTGTAGAAACATCTCAAGGATGATCAATGGAAACAGGGTGTACCTGAGCTGAATTTCGAGTCTCATAGCAATGGGTCTGAATACTTATGTAAATAATGTATTTCTGTTTTTTCTTTTTAATACATTTACAAAAATGTAAAAAAAACTGTTCGCTTTGTCATTATGGGGTATTGTGTATAGATTGCTGCGGATTATATATTTATTTTATCCATTTTAGATTAAGGCTGTAATGTAACAAAATGTGGAAAAAGTCAAAGGGTCTGAATACTTTCCGAAGGCACTGTACATGTATACTTAGCACTACCACTAGGGAGAGTGTTATTGCTGCAGGCGCTGCCTCTTTTTCTCGTACGTTGGTCCGTGACTGTTGGATGAAGCCCAGTGAAAAGAACAGAGACGCTAGCTCTCCGTGTCTCATTTTTTATCCTGTTTTCCGGTTTATACACATGGTTATTTTTAAAGAATCTAGAGATAACATGTTTAACTAAACGGTGTTGAGTTCTGGTAATTTTGATGTATAATTTAATTGTTTTGATCAAGTGAGATTTTCACATTTACATGAGTGTAGCCAAGCTAAGTAGCTAGCTAGCTAGTTCACTTTTGTATGCAAGTCAATGAGAACAGAATATATTTTAATTCCATTATAAATGTTTTGGCTCTTAAATCGTTATATTTTTTACAAACGAGGGCTCATATTGAGTGTATTTACATATGAACCACAGTAATTATATGTATTTTAGAAGGTAACTTTTTATGAAAGGTGTATCTAATCGTTGCATGCTAATTGCTAACTGCTAGCTAGCTTAGTGATAGGCAATAGCTAGCCTTCCATTTCATCCTAGCTAGCCATTTTTGCATCTGATGTGTTTAGCTGTCCATTGGGTTTTGTTACATTTAATACACAGGCCTAAATGAAATTGTAATGTATTTGGAAATGTGTGAATAGGTTTGCTTTTGGAATGAATGTAAACAGATACTTTTTGACAAAGACATGATTTTGAATCAGGGCTATCTTGAGTTAATCAGTTATAACTTTTTGTAATTTTAGTGCACCCATTTCTTTATATTATGATTAATCACGTTGTCTGGTTTAGAATGTTACATATGAAAATGTTGGGAAACCACGTGTCTGTCTGAGTCATGTGACAAATACATGTAAAACTTAACGTGTCTGGCTCGTGAATTTCTGTTTCACGTGACATTGTTCATGTGATTTGTTCACGGGATAAATGTACATGTAAAAAATAAATGTGAAACTTCACACGTGTCTGACATACAGTACCAGTCAAAGGTTTGGACACGCCTACAGTTGAAGTCGGAAGTTTACATACACTTAGGTTGGAGTAATTAAAACTAATTTTTCAACCACTCCACAAATTTCTTGTTAACAAACTATAGTTTGGCAAGTCGGTTAGGACATCTACTTTTGTACATGACACAAGTAAGTTTTCCAACAATTGTTTACACACAGATTATTTCACTTATAATCACTGTATCACAATTCCAATGGGTCAGAAGTTTACACACACTAAGTTGACTGTGCCTTTAAACAGCTTGGAAAATTCCAGAATATGATGTCATGGCTTTAGAAGCTTCTGATAGGCTAATTGACATTATTTGAGTCAATTGGAGGTGTACCTGTGGATGTATTTCAAGGCCAACCTTCAAACTCAGTGCCTCTTTGCTTGACATCATGGGAAAATCAAAAGAAATCAGCCAAGACCTTATAAAAAAAATTGTAGACCTCCACAAGTCTGGTTCATCCTTGGGAGCAATTTCCAAATGCCTGAAGGTACCACGTTCATCTGTACAAACAATAGTACACAAGTATAAACACCATGGGAACACGCAGCCGTCATACCGCTCAGGAAGGAGACGCGTTCTGTCTCCTAGAGATGAACGTACTTTGGTGCGAAAACTGCAATTCAATCCCAGAACAACAACAAAGGACCTTGTGAAGATGCTGGAGGAAACAGGTACAAAAGTATCTATATCAACAGTAAAACGAGTCCTATATCGACATAACCTGAAAGGCCGCTCAGCAAGGAAGAAGCCACTGCTCCAAAAAAGCCATAAAAAAGCCAGACTATGGTTTGCAACTGCACACGGGGACAAAGATTGTACTTTTTGGAGAAATGTCCTCTGGTCTGATGAAACAAACATAGAACTGTTTGGCTATAATGACCATCGTTATGTTTGGAGGAAAAAGGGGGTACTTGCAAGCCGAAGAACACCATCCCAACCGTGAAGCACGGGGGTGGCAGCATCATGCTGTGGGGGTGCGTTGCTGCAGGAGGGAATGGTGCACCTCACAAAATAGATGGCATCATGAGGAAGGACATTTTTGTGGATATATTGAAGCAACATCTCAAGACATCAGTCAGGAAGTTAAAGCTTGGTCGCAAATGGGTAACCTAAATGGACAATGACCCCAAGCATACTTCCAAAGTTGTGGCAAAATGGCTTAAGGACAACAAAGTCAAGGTATTGGAGTGGCCATCACAAAGCCCTGACCTCAATCCTATAGAATATTTGTGGGTAGAATTGAAAAAGCATATGCGAGCAAGGAGGCCTACAAACCTGACTCAGTTACACCAGCTCTGTCAGGAGGAATGGGCCAAAATTCACCCAACTTATTGTGGGAAGCTTGTGGAAGGCTACCCGAAACGTTTGACGCAAGATAAACAATTTAAAGGCAATGCTACCAAATACTAATTGAGTGTATGTAAACTTCTGACCCACTGGGAATGTGATGAAAGAAATAAAAGCTGAAAAAAATTATTCTCTCTACTATTATTTTGACATTTCACATTCTTAAAATAAAGTGGTGATCCTAACTGACCTAAGACAGGGAATTTATACTAGGATTAAATGTCAGGAATTGTGAAAAACTGAGTTGAAATGTATTTGGCTAAGGTGTATGTAAACTTCCGACTTCAACTGTACTCATTCCAGGGTTTTTCTTTATTTTTACTATTATCTACATTGTAGAATAATAGTGAATACATCAAATCTATGAAATAACACATATGGAATCATGTAGTAACCAAAAAAGTGTTAAACAAATCTAAATATATTTTATATTTGAGATTCTTCAAAGTAGCCACCCTTTGCCTTGATGACAGCTTTGCACACTCTTGGCATTCTCTCAACAAGCTTCATGAGGTAGTCACCTGGAATGCATTTCAATTAACAGGTGTGCCTTGTTAAAAGTCAATTTGTGGAATTTATTTTCTTCTTAATGCGTTTGAGCCAATCAGTTGGGCTGTGACAAGGTAGAGGTGGTATACAGATGATAGCCCTATTTGGTTAAAAAAAACAAGTCCATATTATGGCAAGAACAGCTCAAATAAGCAAAGAGAAATGACAGTCCATCATTATTTTAAGACATGAAGGTCAGTCAATACGGAACATTTCAAGAACTTTGAAAGTTTCTTCAAGTGCAGTTGCAAAAACCAGCAAGCGCTATGATGAAACTGGCTCTCATGAGGACCGCCACAGGATAGGAAGACCAAGAGTTACCTCTGCTGCAGAGGATAAGTTCATTAGAGTTACCAGCCTCAGAAATTGCAGTTCAAGTAACAGACACATCTCAACATCAACTGTTCAGAGGAGACTGCATGAAATCAGGCCTTTATGGTCGAATTGCTGTAAAGAAACCACTACTAAAGGACACCAATAAGAAGAAGAGACTTGCTTGGGCCAAGAAACACGAGCAATGGACATTAGACCAGTGGAAATCTGCCCTTGTGTCTGATGAGTCCAAATGTGAGATTTTTGGTTCCAACCGCCATGTCTTTGTGAGACGCAGAGTAGGTGAACGGATGATCTCCGCATGTGTAGTTCTCACCGTGAAACATGGAGAAGGAGGTGTGATGGTGCGGGGGTGTTTTGCTGGTGACACTGTCAGTGATTTATTTAGAATTCAAGGTACACTTAACCAGCATGGCTACCACAGCATTCTGCAGCGATACGCCATCCCATCTGGTTTGCGCTTAATGGGACTATCATTTGTTTTTCAACAGGACAATGACCCAACACACCTCCAGGCTGTGTAAGGGCTATTTGACCAAGAAGGAGAGTGATGGAGCGTTCAAAATACAATGAAAATACATGATCTATACAGCTAAAAGCAACAATGCGATGTCAAAACAAGCTGACATTGAGGTTAAAGAAAGTGTGCTGTATCAATTTACCTGAAGTCAATATTCTTGTAATGCGTCTTATATTTTTTTTTAAATCTTAGATTACAGCTGAATTTCATCAAATGCTGAATTTGCGATTCATTGTGATTAATCACAGCAAACCCTGCGATTATCTCGATTTTTTATTTTTTTTTTACTTTCAGTTTGCTTGAACCTTTGGTAATTTGCGGACAATTTTTCCAGAAAGACATGTTTTCCCAAAACGTCCTTGTACTGTATGTTCTTGAACAGACTTTGAGATATGTTTGCTCCGCTCAGTGGGTGTGCGGGGTGTGGCTTGAAGCAATGAGTGACGTATTTAAAGGGAAGCAGTGCATTTTGAAACCACAACCCAACCCCTCCCCATTTTTCCATGGTCGTTCAGTACAGCGCCGTTTCCGTTAAATTGAACGTTCTATTACGTTTATGTACTGAACGCAGCACTACTCTGAGGTCACTGACCTGGTTTCCTGCGGACTGGTCTTTTCTTGCCGCTGCAGAACCGAACTTTGCTGAAGACAGTAAATATATGCCTCTCGCACAAGGAGCGGGGATCTTTGCTGGGGCTGGTGCGCCGTTTGGAAGTGGTGACCTTTTCGCTGTTTCCTTCTCTTGCTTGACGTTTCTGGCGTATCAGGGAGCTGGCGAGCGCCGCCGCCATCTCCCCGGTAAACTAACCTGAGTGTAGACCACTTGAATCGTCTCCAAATCTACTATGTTGTCAAGATATTGCTGAGGGTGCTGATTATGGCTGGTCCAATGCATGAGGTTGCATAAGTTCGCCATGATGACAAATATGTAGGTAAGGTGAATAAAATGACTGAACTTGCTGAATGCTGAAATCAAACATATTTGTTATCCAAATAATGGTAACAACATCGATATACATATAAAATATTACAATGGCAGTCTTTACAAATAGGTAGGCTACTATATCTCTAAATACATTAATTCATAAATGTATATTTTACATTCGCACACTGTGCAAATTTCTCCAACGCTCTTTATCTCCAGTCCCGATTATTCCCAGGTATCCAGATAAAATGTCCCGTGAATAGTTTCATTATCCATCGTTTTCATTCCTCTTAAATTTCCAGTGCTCGACATTCCACAACTTTCTGAGTTCACAGCGCACTGGATGTGTGTGGAAACACTGCTCACTCACTAGCCTCGCAGCCTGGTATTGTCTTTGCGCAACTACGGGCTCGACACGCGAGCCCCAGGTAAAAATAATCCAATGTTCTCTGGAAGACGGAGAGTCAAAACAAGTTGGAGAACCGTCTAAAAATCTATGTCGCCATTAGAATGACAGGTAATGAGCATCCTAATCAGACATCATTCGAACCCATTGGGCACACACTGGTTGAATCAACGTTGTTTCCACGTAATTTCATAAATTACTTTGAACCAATGTGAATTGACATCTGTGCCCTGTGGGAAAAATCTAAACACTAATCTCACTGTAGCCTGTAGTGAAAAGTACTATCAGATCAACCGGTGAAGTCTGCTCTTCATCGCTCGGTTTGCGAGCAGCCTTTTTCTCTCTATGCAATCCTACGTGGTTGTGGTTCGGATAAGGAATTCTCGGAGGCTGAGAGAAAGAGAGCGAAAGGGAGAGGGAGAAGAAACCAGGGGGTTTTAGCGAGTGTGTGTGTGTGTGTGTGTGTGTGTGTGTGTGTGTGTGTGTGTGTGTGTGAGAGAGAGAGAGAGAGAGAGAGAGAGCAGGAGGGAGGCAAGAGAGTGAGGGGGAGGGCTGCTTGGCAGAAGATGCGCAAGCAGCACACATCTGTTGGTAACATAATTTTACCAAAGGCTATGAGAAAGGCAGGTCTCCATCACGAAAACCGATCTCGCGCACCATACATACTTCCTGCGCGCAATATAGCCTGGGGACAAGGTAACGCAAACCTAGCTCCTAGGCTAGTAGCCTGTGTCTGTACCTGTAGCCAGGGGCAACCTATCATTCAGGGCAGGTGTGGCAGACCTTTTTAGCTAAAAAATAAATATATATACACACTACTGGTCAAAAGTTTTAGATCACCTTCTAATTCAAGGGTTTTTCTTTATTTTTACTATTTTCTACAATGTAGAATAATAGTGAAGACATCAAAACTATGAAATAACACATATGGAATCATGTAGTAACCAAAAAAGTGTTAAACAAATCAAAATATATTTTATATTCTTCAAAGTAGCCAGCCTTTGCCTTGATGACAGCTTTGCACACTCTTGGCATTCTCTCAACCAGCTTCACCTGGAATGCTTTTTCAACAGCCTTGAAGGAGTTCCCACATATGCTGAGCACTTGTTGGCTGCTTTTCCTTCACTATGGTCCAACTCATCCCAAACCATCTCTATTGGGTTGAGGTCAGGTGATTGTGGAGGCCAGGTCATCTGATGCAGCACTCCATCACTCTGCTTCTTGGTAAAATAGCCCTTACACAGCGTGGAGGTGTGTTGGGTCATTGTCCTGGAATGCATTTCAATTAACAGGTGTGCCTTCTTAAAAGTTAATTTGTGGAATTTCTTTCCTTCTTAATGTGTTTGAGCCAATCAGTTGTGTTGTGACAAGGTACGGGGGGGGGGGGGGGGGTATACAGAAGACCAAGTCCATATTATGGCAAGAACAGCTCAAATAAGCAAAGAGAAACGACAGTCCATCATTACATGACATGAAGGTCAGTCAATACGGAACATTTCAAGAACTTTTAACGTTTCTTCAAGTGCAGTCGCAAAAACCATCAAGCGCTATGACGAAACTGGCTCTTATGAGGACCGCCACAGGAATGGAAACCCAGAGTTACCTTTGCTGCAGATGTTCATTAGAGTTACCAGCCTCAGAAATTGCAGCCCAAATAAATGCTTCACAGAGTTCAAGTAACAGACACATCTCAAAATCAACTATTCAGAGGAGACTGTGTGAATCAGGCCTTCATGGTCGAATTGCTGCAAAGAAACCACTACTAAAGGACACCAAATAACAAGGAGAATTGCTTGTGCCAAGAAACACGAGCAATGGACATTCAACCGGTGGAAATTTGTCCTGTGGTCTAGAGTCCAAATTGGAGATTTTTGCTTCCAACCGGCGTGTCTTTGTGAGACGTGGTGTGGGTGAACGGATGATCTCCGCATGTGTATTTACCACCGTAAAGTATGGAGGAGGAGGTGTTATGGTGTGGGTGTACTTTGCTGGTGACACTGACAGTGATTTATTTAGAATTCAAGGCACACTTAACCAGCATGGCTACCACAGCATTCTGCAGCGATACGCCATCCCATCTGGTTTGGGTTTAGTTGGACTATCATTGTTTTTTCAACAGGACAATGACCCAACACACCTCCAGGCTGTAAGGGCTATTTTACCAAGAAGGAGAGTGATGGAGTGCTGCATCAGATGACCTGGCCTCCACAATCCCCCGACCTCAACCAAATTGAGATGGTTTGGGATGAGTCGGTGTCACGTCTCCTCCCATTGCTCCCCTCCGGCGCTCTGATTCGCCGGTCTACTGAGCCACCAATCTGAGCGCAACACCTCGGCAACACCGGAATGGAAACCCAACGCACCCTAATCACCTCCAGCGCACCTGCACCTCATCATCTCATCACCACCCCTATTTAGCCCTGGACTGTTCTGAATGATGTTGTGTGTGATTGTTAAGCTTCGTGTCGTTTACTCTATCTTTTTGTTATTACTCTTGCTCTTTGTTAAGAAACCCTTGACCTTGTTAATTCCTGCATCTGCGTCGTGCCTCTTCGTATACTCAGTACGCGTCAGTCGGACCGCAGAGTGAAGGAAAAGCAGCCAACAAGTGGTCAGCAAATGTGGGAACTCCTTCAAGACTGTTGGAAAAGCATTCCAGCTGAAGCTGGTTGAGAGAATGCCAAAAGTGTGCAAAGCTGTCATAACGGCATAGGGTGGCTATTTAAAGAATCTCAAATATAAAATATATTTTGATTTGTTTCTCATGAAGCTACAGTGAGGGAAAAAAGTATTTGATCCCCTGCTGATTTTGTACGTTTGCCCACTGACAAAGAAATGATCAGTCTATAATTTTAATGGTAGATTTATTTGAACAGTGAGAGACAGAATAACAAAAAATAAATCCAGAAAAACGCATTTCAAAAATGTTATAAATTGATTTGCATTTTAATGAGGGGAATAAGTATTTGACCCCCTCTCAATCAGAAAGATTTCTGGCTCCCAGGTGTCTTTTATACAGGTAACGAGCTGAGATTAGGAGCACACTCTTAAAGGGAGTGCTCCTAATCTCAGTTTGTTACCTGTATAAAAGAAACCTGTCCACAGAAGCAATCAATCAGATTCCAAACTCTCCACCATGGCCAAGACCAAAGACCTCTCCAAGGATGTCAAGGACAAGATTGTAGACCTACACAAGGCTGGAATGGGCTACAAGACCATCGCCAAGCAACTTGGTGAGAAGGTGACAACAGTTGGTGCGATTATTCGCAAATGGAAGAAACACAAAATAACTGTCAATCTCCCTCGTCCTGGGGCTCCATGCAAGATCTCACCTCGTGGAGTTGCAATGATCATGAGAACGGTGAGGAATCAGCCCAGAACTACACGGGAGGAGCTTGTCAATGATCTCAAGGCAGCTGGGACCATAGTCACCAAGAAAACAATTGGTAACACACTATGCCTTGAAGGACTGAAATCCTGCTCAAGAAAGCACATATACAAGGCCATCTGAAGTTGGCCAATGAACATCTGAATGATTCAGAGGAGAACTGGGTGAAAGTGTTGTGGTCAGATGAGACAAAAATCGAGCACTTTGGCATCAACTCAACTCGCCGTGTTTGGAGGAGGAGGAATGCTGCCTATGACCCCAAGAACACCATCCCCACCGTCAAACATGGAGGTGGAAACATTATGCTTTGGGAGTGTTTTTCTGTTAAGGGGACAGGACAACTTCACCGCATCAATGGGACGATGGACAGGGCCATGTACCGTCAAATCTTGGGTGAGAACCTCCTTCCCTCAGCCAGGGCATTGAAAATGGGTCGTGGATGGGTATTCCAGCATGACAATGACCCAAAACACACGGCCAAGGCAACAAAGGAGTGGCTCAAGAAGAAGCACATTAAGGTCCTGGAGTGGCCTAGCCAGTCTCCAGACTTTAATCCCATAGAAAATCTGTGGAGGGAGCTGAAGGTTCAAGTTGCCAAACGTCAGCCTCGAAACCTTAATGACTTGGAGAAGATCTAGAAAGAGGAGTGGAACAAAATCTCTCCTGAGATGTGTGCAAACCTGGTTGTCAACTACAAGAAACATCTGACCTCTGTGATTGCCAACAAGGGTTTTGCCACCAAGTACCAAGTCATGTTTTGCAGAGGGGTCAAATACTTATTTCCCCCATTAAAATGCAAATCAATTTATAACATCTTTCACATGCGTTTTTCTGGATTTTTTTGTTGTTATTCTGTCTCTCACTGTTCAAATAAACCTACCATTAAAATTATTGTAGGATTTTTTATGAATTTTTTTGCAAATTATGGTGGAAAATAAGTATTTGGTCACCTACAAACAAGCAAGATTTCTGGCTCTCACAGACCTGTAACTTCTTCTTTAAGAGGCTCCTCTGTCCTCCACTCATTACCTGTATTAATGGCACCTGTTTGAACTTGTTATCAGTATAAAAG